AACCGTCTTGAGCCAAATCTGACGTATACCCCCCCCCCCCCCCCACCTTGTTCCATTGAAGACCCATGGGTTAAAGATGCTCCAACCGCAAGATACTCTGACTCAAGGCGAATCCAGGCCATTTGTGTAGAGGAAGATCACATGATCAACTCAGTTGTAAAATCGATTCTGATCAAAAATTAATATATTTTATTTTATTTTTAATTTCTTCATTAATTTATCAATTATCTGATTGACCTGAAGTGATCAATATGATTTTGAATAAGTAGAAAAAAATATGTATAAAATCAACATTTAATATTTTTCAAGTATAAATGATAAAAGTATATATAAAAAGAAAGTAACTTATGTATTTTTTTAGTCTAATTATTAAAACTAGCTAGGTCGAAACAATCAGTCATGCTGATGGATATAAATTTTTTTAAAACTTAAACTAAAAATTGAAATACTGCATTGGTAAATTTATTCTTCAAAAAAAAAAAGCTATATTCTTACTAACTTTAACAATAGGGAAAAATATGTGTCATTTTTTTTTTTTTTGATAACAAAATATGTGTCATTTTAAAGGACACAAAATTATGTCATTTTAAGTGAGAGAAAGAGATAAATCATGGAAGAGAAAATAGGAGAAAAGAGTTTTAAAAGTGTGAGTTCTACCTCTTTGTACGAGTGAAATGACATAACTTGTATAATTTAAAATGACACACTTTTTTTTTCTTAACAATAATTACAAGTAAAGAATTTAAAATATTGTAATTTTTTTATAAATAGAAAATGAAATTAAGTTGAGATAAAATTATCTCCAAATTTCATAAAACATCTTTTTGGGTTTGAGAAAAAATGCAGAGAAAAGAAATGACATTTTGGATTGAAGAATTATTAAAATATCTTGCATTTTTTTTTCATAACTTCAAAACAACGCTGTTTTGGATTGAAGAATGTAATTTTATAGTGGTAAGATAAACATTTATCTTACCATAGGCGGCTCAAAGAGTCGAAGGCGGCTCAAAGAGTCGAACCCGAGGGGATACCGGGGGGTTCTGATTCGTTTCAAAGAGGTAATTTGGATCAGTTTACAAAAAAATAAAATAAACATTTATCGTGATAAGAGAAACACTTTTCTTATAAAATATGTATTATTTTAAGGATATGATATCATGTCTATTTTTTATATCTACTTTATTTATTTCTATATAATATCATTATATCAGAATTTCAAGAAAAGAAAAAAAGATAAAAATTAATTGCGATTCTGATTCAACGATTTTGGAGAATAATATATAAAATAGGTTAAAAAAAGAAACACATAATATCGTATCGATTTTATTCTTTTCATCTTTTAATTAGTAATAAAATATATATTTTTCCATTTTTAAATAATTTTGTTATGTTTTATCATTAATGGGGCAAAAAAATTAATTTAATGCTTTTTAATAAAATAATTACGCATTTATTACAGTTTTGGAAATAATTACGGATCTATTGCACAATGTGACGCCCCATTGAGGCGTCCCACACTCCCACCCTAAGGGGAGACACCCCAATGGGGCGTCACTCATCAGGTGTTGACACGTGTCATTTTTTTTCCAAAAAAAAAATTAATTTAATCATAAAACTTTCGAAGGCCATAACTTTTGACTCGGGTATCCAAATCAGGTAATTCTTTTTTGATTCCACATAACTTTACGAGATCTGCACAATGACATCTTATTTGATATTTTATTTCTCACAAACATAATTTTAATTTGTAAGAATGGTATTATAAGAGCGGTTAAACCCAGAAGACTCTGAGTTCTGGATTTGTGATTTAATATAAAAAAATAAATAAAATTTTGATTTGTGATTTAAATTTTTTTTATAATTTTTTTCATTATAACAAAAAATTGGTTTGTGATTTAAATTAAAAATAAAAATAAAAATTATTATTACTAAGAAAAACAAAATAAAGATTTGATTTGTGATTTAAACTAAAAAATCAATTTGAAAAATATGTAGAAATAAAGGAAATAATTAAATAAATATTCTAAATCTCAGGAAGAAGGATATTATTTTTGAAATTAATGATTAATGCTATAAGCTTCTGGGCTATTATTCGTGGTCTGAAATTAATGATGGCTTATGAATGTTTTTAAAAAATAAAATTACCTAAATTAGGCGTGATTTCCTCTTGATTGAAATCCAATTTAGACTTGATTGGTGACGGGTCAGGTGTTGACACGTGTCACATTTTTAAACTCAGAAGCCTCTGAGTTCTGCGTTTGTGATTTAATATAAAAAATAAAGGGAAAATTGTTTCTGCAGTTAATGCAGATAAGTTATCTGCATTTATTTCCAAAACGACGTCGTTTTGGTATTGAAATCTTAAAAAATTATAAATATAAAGACTATTATAACCCTGAAATAAATTAAAATTACAAAAACACCATGATTTCCGTTCCAAAACGACGTCGTATTGGCTTACTGCAGATAACTTATCTGCAATATCTGCAGAAAAAGTGAATCCAAAAATAAATCAAGATTTGATGTGTGATTTAAATTAAAAAAATAATTTTTTTTATTTTTATTATAAAAAAAATTTGGATTGTGATTTAAATTAAAAATAACAATTATTATTAATAAGGAAAACAAAATAAAGATTTGATTTGTGATTTAAACTCAAAATTCAATTTGGAAAATCTATATTAATAAAAGAAATAATTAAATAAATATTCTAAATCTCTAAGGAAGAAGGATTACCTTATTTAAATTTAAATTATGTTTGTGAGAAATAAAATATATCAAATGAGATGTCATTACGTAGATCTCGAAAGTTATATGATTAAATATGTAGAGGAAGATCACATGATCAGCCAAGTTGTAAAACCGGTTCTGATCAAAAATTAATATATTTTATTTTATTTTTAATTTCTTCATTAATTTATCAATTATCTGATTGACCTGAAGTGATCAATATGATTTTGAATAAGTAGAAAAAAATATGTATAATCAACATTTAATATTTTTCAAGTATAAATGATAAAAATATATATAAAAAGAAAGTAACGTATGTATTTTTTAGTCTAATTATTAAAACTAGCTAGGTCGAAACAATCAGTCATGCTGATTGATATAAATTTTTTTAAAACTTAAACTAAACATTGAAATACGGCATTGGTAAATTTATTCTTAAAAAAAGCAAAGAAATAATCTTACTAACGTTTAACAATAGGAAAAAATATGTGTCATTTTAAAGGACACAAATTTATATCATTTTAAATGAGAGAAAAAGATAAATCATGAAAGAGAGAATATGAGAAAAAAGTTTTAAAAGTGTGAGTTCTACCTCTTTGTACGAGTGAAATGACATAACTTGTATAATTTAAAATGACACACTTTTTTTTCTTCTTAACAATAATTACAAGTAAAGAATTAAAAATATTGTAATTTTTTTAGAAATAGAAAATGAAATTAAGTTGAGATAAAATTATCTCCTAAATTTCATAAAACATCATTTTGGGTTTGAGAAAAAATGCAGAAAAAAGTAATGACATTTTGGGTTGAAGAATTATTAAAACGTACTGCATTTTTATTTTCGTAACTTTCAAAACAACGCTGTTTTGGATTGAAGAATGTAATTTTATAGTGGTAAGATAAACATTTATCGTGATAAGAGAAACAATTTTCTTATAAAATATGTATTATTTTAAGGATATGATATCATGTCTATTTTTTATATCTACTTTATTTATTTCTATATAATATCATTATGTCATAATTTCAAAAAAAGGAAAAAAGATAAAAATTAATTGCGATTCTGATTCTTTTGGAGAATAATATATAAAATAGGTTAAAAAAAGAAACACATAATATCGTATCGATTTTATTCTTTTCATCTTTTAATGAGTAATAAAATATATATTTTTCCATTTTTGAATAATTTTGTTATTTTTTATCATTAATGGTATGTATATAATTATTTCTATTTTATTTTCATATCTAAATAAGTAATATGTGATAAAGATGTTTATATCATTAAATTAGTTCCGATCCTTTCCTTAATCAATGGAATTTGAAATTCACTTAACCGTTGTTCGAACATCATAAGTGGCGCAGAATCTTTGCACGTTCAAAGGCAATTTTACATTCATTCCTTGTGATATCACTCTTTCTTCAATATTGTTACCATCCATCCTTACTGTTGCAGCTTTCAAATGGTCAGTTTTTCTTTTTCCTTTCTTTTTAGCAGAGTCACATTTGTATTGTTCCAAGATTTTATCTTTGTGAATGTGTAGTTTGGAATTTTCACGTCGTAGTTTGTCGGGGTTATTGATTTATGGGTTTTATAATTCTCATTTAATACGAGAATTTGAATTTTCTTACACACCCTTCGATTTCGATTTCCGTGCTAACGTGGGTCTTACACATAATTTTTTCTTACATACGAGTCCACGTGCTTTTTGTCTCTACAACATGAGAATTCTCATGTTGAATGAGAAATATAAAACCCTTAGTTTATATGGGGAATTTCAAGAATCTTACGGTTTGTCTCTTTCTTTTATTAACGTGAATTTTTGGTTTTTGGTTTTTTTGGTGGACAAAGAATCTTACGTTGAAGCCTTGTTATCTTTCTTGTTTTGGTGGAATTTTTGGTTTTTGGTTTTTTTTTTTTTTTTAATTTATACTTAAAAATTAGGTTTAATGTGTATTCTGAATTATGGTAAATAATATTGAACAATCCACGGGTAAGGAAAATGGTTTTAGGAGTTAGATCTTTCTAGTTTTCTTTTTTATATATTTCAAAACTAAGGACGTCGTTTTGGATGCATTTTTGCTTTTTGATTAAGGGAACTGCTTATAAAACTTCGTCTGTGAGAAGAAGTGATTGTTTATGTAACACATGTTTCGTTTTATATATTTACGAAGCATCAAATTTACTAAAATGAAAGGAAGCTTGGATGTTCTATGAAAAATGATCATTATTGTAAGTATCATGATACATAAATGAACATACCGGTAAATGAATGTGGAAATGTCAGAATTTGTTTTGTGACTCTAATTTTGGTGATAGTGATAATATTTTTACATTTTACATTGAACCTGAGTGCTCAAAACTGGGACTAGGTTTTGAGACATTGGATTATGCAAAAGGTTCAGTGACTTCCCTCAATCTCATAGTTGAATGTTGCAACCATATCAATTTTGTATCTCTAACACTTCCCATAATCTTGTAGTTGAATGTTGCAACCATATCATGTTTCAGGTTTCATGTTTGAATGTTTATTTGCAGGGTAAGAATTCTCAAAATAAGAGTAGAAGTTGCCGGAAAGATACCTCTTACAGATATAACAATATGAGCCAGTTCAATTCCAATGACCATGTTCCTCATCTTGGTGGGGTTGTCCACTCTTCTGGTGGTAGATACTTACCACATCAAACTTCTGGACCAGCATGGTGTGAAATTTGTGAGGTTACGTTGAATAGTCACAAAATTATGAAAGTGCATAAGAATGGAAAGAGACATCGAGGATTGTTGAAACTTCATGAGGAATCTAAGAAAAATTTGTTTTCAAATGGACAACAGAGAGAACAGATGTCAAATTCTCAAATGAATTCAGTTGTTCAACCTAAGCTCGTTCTTAAATCTGAGAAACTTGGATGCCTGGTAGAAAATGTGAGTTCTGAAGCTACTGCTGCCAAGCACAAGAGTTACCTAGGGAAAGATATTGGGAAACCCAGTGATAACTTTGGTGCACAAGGTCATGGTTTCAAGCGTAAGAGTGCAGGAGCCGCAGGAGCCACAGGAGGAAAATACATGAAGACAAATAATGGGATAAGAAAACCAATGGATTCATCAAAACTTGCTGCTAAAGCTCTGTCAAGTTATGTAGAATCTGTTGTCCAAGTACCTGCTAGAGTTAGGGATAACTTTGGTGCACAAAGTCATGGTTTGAAGCGTAAGAGTGCAGGAGCCACAGGAGGAAAATACATGAAGACAAATAATGGGATAAGAAAACCAATGGATTCATCAAAACTTGCTGCTAAAGCTCTGTCGAGTTATGTAGAATCTGTTGTCCAAGTACCTGCTAGAGTTAGGGATAAATACTTGAAAACAAATACTTTGATAAGAAAGCCAATGGATTCATCAAACCTTGGTGTCAATGCTCTGTCAGATCATGCAGGACCTATAGTTCAAGTACCTGCAGTAGCGCTACCATCAGGGGCTGTGGCTTCTCAGATAAAGGCGCCAACACCTGTAGTAGGATCAAGTTTCGAGCTACAGATTCAGCATGTCTCAGCCTCAGAGACACAAGTGTCAGAAGGCAAAAAACATCAGCAGATTCAAAATCCCACTTTGGAAACAAATGTACAGCCACAATCAATCTCTGTGGAGTTGAATGCCCTTGCAGGTTCTAATATTAGGACTCAAACTGAAGATGTGAGTTATGATTCTACAGCAATAGCAGTAGCACCACCAAAAGAGCCAATGGCATCTCCGGTATTGGCATCAGAACCTGTAGTGGGATCAAGTTTTGAATCACATACTGAAACAGAACCCCAAGGATCAGAAGCCATAACACATTATGAGAGTCAAAATCCTACTGACAAATCAAATAATCAACTGCTATCATCTGTCTTGATGGAGTTTGATGGCGCTTCAGGTTCTGGTTTTAACACCCAAACTGCTGACGGAAGTTCTAAAGCTGAAGAAAAGATGGATGTTCTCACCCCTAAATTCGGGTTAACTCAGTTGTCTCAGGTATTTCACATCATTTGCTAATTTTCAATGTAACTATCAAAGAATACAGTGGTTGTTTCTTAAGAGATCTAGTTACTAATTTGATTATAGTTTTATTTAGTATTACTGTGACAGGCCTGAATCTGCTTAACCTATCCATTTTTGTTAATTTAGATTTTTCAATTGAATGAACCAACTATTCTACTTGTGCCTAGTGGTTGGTCTAACTTCATGACATGTAAATAATTGTTGATTGAGTAAACCTTTTGAAACTGTTTTATTTTTTTGGCATGTCTTGTCTTCCTTAAATGAGACAAACATGATAAAAATTTCAAATGAGAAGAAGAAAGAATTTGAAATGTTTTCTTTTCGGCAATGTCTTTTTGTCAACAATACATAACTCAAAAGCTTGTGATAGCAGCTTTTGGAGTTGTACATCTGCTTTTATGATCCATTGCAGTAAAACTCTGTACACTTGTTGCAGGAAACTGTTTGTCTTACTTGTGGCGATGAGGGCTTTCCGGAGTTGTTGGATTTTTGTGAAACGTGTCAGGTTTCTGCTGTGCATAGGTAATTACTATTTACTCTTACTGTCTATTTTCTTTGATGAACTTGTAGCAAGTTTTTATCATCATACTTGACTGAAGATGCTCCTACTTCTAATGCCTTCTGGACATTCTTTAATTTTTGCATTATAAGTATTAAAGGTGGGAGAATTATAGTTGATGATTCCAAAGAATATGAAATGTTACTGAAGATCATTGCCAATTCTGGTCAAATGATCAGGAACAATTAGGTTTTTAGGATTCCAATTATTTTCTTATATAGTTAGGCTTTTCGTGTTCTGTAATTGGACAGATCCTATTATGATTTTTTAGGTACCAAATTTGGGTCTTAAAATCATGGGTTAGGAAGCCAATGCTTGTATATATTGTAGCTCCCTATTGCATTGGAAATTAGAGAATTCCATCGTCTCATCCGTTATATACGTATTGCTTGGTATTTATACCCTGAACCTTTGTGTCATATGACATAGATTTTTATATGATTTTTATTCTTTTTCAAGCAGAAATATAATTAAAAGTGCTTAAAAAATATGATTTAGAAGGTTTTCATCATCATATTACCTGCAGATGCCCCTATTTTTTATTTCCACGTGGACATTCTTTTAAATTTCTATTGGTATTGATGGTGCTTATTAATACCTCGAACCTTTTCTTCTGAGTTGATGCACAATACAATTGTATTAATACCATGAACTTCCTTTTTGGCATCAGAAACATAGAGTTGCTATTGAATTTGGTTCACATTATCTTCTAAACTAGAAGATTATGCATTTTATAAGATTTGTAGTTTCACATTCTTGATGCATATTGGCCTTATGAGTCTCAACATCCCTTTTCAGGTATTGTTTAGATGGGCCTGTGGATTATAATGGTGAAGTTACTTGGTTCTGTGAGGATTGTGAAGCAAAGGTAGTAGACACATCTTCTCATGATCAAAGTAAAGCCAGAATAGAGGTAACAAATTGCATGAAGAAAGTGAGGAAAAACAAGCAACAACAAAATGCTAATTCTACTGAGGGGCATGTGATTGTTGCTGAACCACAGCCTATTGCTGATCCAGTGTGGAGGTAAGAAATTTATTTTTGTTACCTTCTTTTGGAGTTGGTGAAATTTCTAGCTTCTATGGTGAATCATTGTCTAAAGTTGAATTTTATGGCCAATAGGGGAAGCTTGTACTTCTGCGACCAAAGTATTGATACTTTCAGTGGAGTGCTGGCCCATTTGTCCAATTTAGCACGCCGTCAAGTTCAAGAGGAAGCAAGACTTCTCCCTGAGGTGCTTCGTGTGGACTTGCTTGATAGATCTGAAGTATGGCCAAATTATTTCAAGGAAAGTGGACCAAATGAGGAGAGCATTGCTCTATATTTCTTTCCTGAGAATGAAAGGTGATTTTTCTGACAAACTATCATGTTCTTAGAGCTGTTTGGATATAATTTTTTTCTACAAGCTCCTTTTTCTCAAAATAAAAGTATTTTTAACTTTAAGTGTGTATTCAGCATACAACTTTGGAAAAAAGCAAAAGTCAGAAAAAAGCTAAACTGGTGTTTTTTTTTTCAAAAAAACCAATATTCTTGGTGTAAAAAAGGGCCAAAATAGCCCACTAAAAAAAAGGGTCCAAAATATATATATATATATTTTTTTATAACATCAAAATGCTTATTAGATACTGGTTCAAACACAATAGTTTTTGCTTTTGAAAGATCTTACTCTGGAGTCAAATTATATATATATATATATATATATATATATATTATCAAAAGGCTATTCAAACTGCCCTTACTCCGCTCTCTCTCTTTAATTTAATATTGAACATTACATGCTTCTACAGCAATGAGAGGGCCTTTGACGAGCTGGTTGATGAGATTATTTACCATGACCTTATCATAAAAGCTGTGGTTAAAAATGGAGAGCTTTTAGTTTTTCCTTCTACAGTGCTCCCAATGAAACAAAGGAGTGAGTTACATTTATTCTACTTCTTCAGTGCCACATTTAAATTTCACTGTTTGTAAAATTAAATTGTGTCTTAATTTTTGATTTACATGTTGTGCAGGATTTCAAGCAAAGTATTACTTGTGGGGACTCTTCAGAGAAAAGCAAACTTCTCCTAAGTCTAAAACTTGTCATAACCATAGTTCCTCTAATACTTTTTAGGCCTAGTGGTGTGGTTCTGTTTCCAATGCACGGTGGTACTCCTGTTTCCCTAGCCATTGAATTCATTAATATGTATCTATTTAGTTTTACTGAACGTTTTTGAGAAAATATGGTAGCATGCTGAGAATTTTGGACTAGAGAGGATATGATCGATGGCGATGACAAGAGAATGCCTAAATATGTGTCTTTTTGTTACTGATTTTACATTTTTACTCCTTTTTTTTTTAGCTGATATATTTTTATTGATGATTACAAATATATCACTTTATTTTATTTTTTATCAATATTTATAAAAAAAATTAGACAAATAATTGATCTCTATTTAATAAATATGAGTCTCTGAGTGGTAAGTTTCATCGTCTTTTAAAGAATATTAAATGTTACTATAAAAGTGCGATTTGATCTTTTGTCCATAGCTTTAGCTGTCTTTGTCGCTAAAGTTATTGATTATTGAAACATAGGGGTTTTGATTTCACAGTTTCTCGCAGTGTTTTAAAATTTCACTCTGCTTTCTGGTTGACTCGAGTCAACTCCGATCTCTTTCCTCTGAAGGTTGGGGTTGCAAGTTGGATCTTATATGCACATCGATCCTTTCGACTCTCAAAACTCGGTCGGGTTTCAATGACTCCCAAGTCAGAGGAGTCAAAGGGAGACATTGCATTTTTTTTTTTAAGAAAATTCCATGAAACAACGTCGTTTTATTAAAAAATAAAAAATAAAAATACTTGTAAATCTAAATCTAATTGTTCTCTTCTCTCACAGCGACATAAACTTGTGGTATCTTAATACTTTGGTATCATTAGAATATGAGTTTTGTACTTTGGTATCTTGATACTTTAATTAGGTTATGTAATATTGAGTTGTGGTTGTAATTGGTGAATTATGTTAAGTATATTTTGAATATTTGATTATTGGTAATTTGTTTTTTAATATTTTCATATAAAATATATATTAACATTTTTTAATATATAAAATCGAATCAGTGTAGTGACCCCATGACTAGGGGTTTTAACGGGCCGAGCCGAGCCGAGCTTTGATCTTAACGGGCCAAGCCTGTATTTAAACGTGTCCGACTGGCCTTAGCCTGTTACGAATATAATATTGGCATGTGCCCTGGTTTATTTACAAAAACTAAAAGTCTGTGTGAAGCCTGTCTTAGCCTGTTAGCATGTTAAATAATAAAAATAAGATAACAGAATTCCACAAAAAATCAATTTCTAGATAGAAACCTTAGCTTCCAATTTGCAGCAATAATTTACAAAGTCTACAATAAATAAATAAAATTAAAGTGAGAGAAGGTAGATAACAGGTTATATTATCTTAGTCCATTATAAAAAAAGTGCCAACAAAAATAAAAATAAAATAAATTGACACAGACGAGCAGTGCACAGTGGAACGAATGAGTTTTTGTGGGTTTGTTTGTGTGAAGGAGGATGAAGGATAATATAGAACAGCATTAATAATTCCATAAATATACATAAATTCAATATATATCCAAATAGCATAATATAGAACAAAATCATTCAAAAAGTCTGTTAAACCAATTGAATGGGGTGAAATAAATTGATGAGAGAGAGTTATTACAAGTAGTATAAAAAGTATAAATAAATATTTATATATTAGGCTAGCATGGGAGGCTCTAAGGCCGAGCTTCTGAATTAGAGCCTGAGGCCTTTTTATTAAACGAGCTTTTATACAAGTCTAAGCCTGGTTCAAACACGAGCTTTTATTAATCGAGCTCAGGCCTTTACGAGCCGAGCCAAAGGCCCGTGGCTCGTTTACCACCCCTACCCATGACCCCTCCTGCTTAAACTCGTGATCCCTAATCTCGATCGGGTCAATTGTCGGGCCGTATTTTTAAACACTGGTTTTTGGATGCTTTGGTT